CTCTGAATACAAGTGGGCAAAACTCTACTCAGCCCAAGGGACCATGGATAGGATGATTTTCGCATTGTAAGTAAAAATGATAAAAATAATGAATAGACTTCTGGTTTCAGCTCCAACATATAATGAACTTGAAGTCCTCACTCCAGTCCTTATAAGAAGAAAAAGCCAAACAAACTGAAATTAATGACTTATCTAGGACCCATCGGTAAACTGAGGTCACAGGGCAAACCTCCACCATAAAATCTGGAGAGAGAATCAGATCTAGAGTCACAGCTGAAATCTGTGCACCTGCAGCAGTAGCTACTGGAGCCACAAACTGGTAGGAACACTTAAATGGTCATTTTGACAAACTGCCAAGAGTTGTGCATGGACCAGCCTGAGAGGGAGAGCCACAGTCTTAGGAAACACCTGATGTTCTGAGCTTTCCTTTCAGGAGCCCCATCAGGTTCTCACATGAAGAGCCAATAAAGACTCCCTCATGGCTCTGCCAGGGGGAGGGTGAGAATAACTATCTGACATACACTCAGAAACTTCATAACAAAGTCTGTTCTCCAAGGGAAGAGGCTTCACCAGAGTTTTACCCCACCTGGAGAATAAATGTTTCTCTGACTCCAGTCACTGCAGTCCTCCTAGCTCACCAAGGTGTGGGTATTTGGGGGTGGGGGGCAGGGCATGAAACAGGGGAGAGGGCAAAACTGCTTTCTCATGAAATCTCTCTTTCTTAAAAAACTTTCATATTCTGAGTAACTCCTTGACTCGGAAAGTTTACATTGTAGGGCAGGGAGATGATAAGGGGAAAAGAGCACTAGATTACAATCCCATTGCTCAAGGAGAGTTCTATTATTATTTAACCATTTCTCAGGGTAAGCTTTACTTATGAAATAGTGTTTCTTGAAGTTTTAACGTTGCACCTCTTTTAACAACATTTTCTTGTGCTCGCCCTTTCTTGTGCATAAATGTTAATTTTTTCTTTTGAATTGGGCAAACATTCCTACAATCTCTGCTCTTTATCTTCAGCTAGAGAATTTTTGCCCATTCCTATATGCCAGAGTTTCCATGATCCTCTTAGCTCCAAATGGTGTCTGTGCAAACGCTACGTACAAATTATTCTACTTTAATTAACTGCATGCATTTGCATGACCCTCAGAATGAGTGTCTCCAATAGACCTCCATCAACGGACCTCCATCATCCTCCATCAATGGACCTCCATCAGAACGTCTGCTGCTGTCTGTCATCACCACCATTTCTACCTGTCATCGGTCACATCTTCATTGCCCTCTCTGTTGTTGTCCCTTTAGTTTATTTGCTCCACTCTTTTTTTATCTAGTAAAAGAACTAAAAGACCAAAAACTGGCTTCTCTAAGCAGGAAACACCTTTCCCTCAGCAAGGTGATCCTCATTCTCCAGGTAGGATCCTTGGCTCTTAGCTGTATTTACTGTTCCAGGGCACAAAAAAGCTGCTCCTTCAGTTGACTGGCTTTCTGGAGGTGACCACATTGAGTTCCAGCCATTCTAGAAGGCAGAGGTTTCTGGAAGTCTGTCTGTAGAATTAACAACACCTCTTTGTGGCTTCTCCCTCTACTGTGACCAACAAGGCACCCACAGATACTACCTTATAACTAAGCCACTTGACCTGCTCTGTTTTTATGGAGTGTGTATCAGAGTTTTTATGGCAATTTTTCTAAAAAGCCACAGTAGCTTTTAGATTCTAGGATTATGATTGTCTTGAGTTCTTCCAATTTAACTAACTTGCTCTCCAGTAAAATGGCCCTGAATAAAGACCACCAAGTGGCATTTCTGCTGTCCTTACACCTCAGGAGTCTGAGTTCTCAGATGTGAGGCCAAGGACTCGGGGCCTAGAGAGCGGTAGCTCTCAGCAGCAGTAAAGACTGAAAGGAGCTCAGGGATTTGACTTGCTGGCTCCCTGAACCACCCAACCATCTTTCACTCTGGTTTTCTTTTCTTTTTTAAAAATTATTTAATTAATTAATTTATTTTTGGCTGCATTCGGTCTTCATTGCTGCACGCGGGCTTTCTCTAGTTGCGGCGAGCGGGGGGCTACTCTTTGTTGCGGTGCACGGGCTTCTCATTGCGGTGGCTTCTCTTGTTATGGAGCACAGGCTCTAGGCGCGTGGGCTTCAGTAGTTGTGGCAATGGGCTCAGTAGTTGTGGCTTGCGGGCTCTAGAGCGCAGGCTCAGTAGTTGCGGCACACAGGCTTAGCTGCTCCGCGGCATGTGGGATCTTCCCGGACCAGGGCTCGAACCCATGTCCCCTACATTGGCAGGTGGATCCTTAACCACTACGCCACCAGGGAAGTCCTCACTCTGGTTTCCAAGAGAGCCAGTACAGACCTCCAGAGGGCATCAGCTACAGTTGGTCCTTCTAGCACATAATTACTCACTTGGAAAAGAAAATCTAATAAATAATGCACAGGTGAAGCAGAAACACTTAATTTGCTTTTGGCAGGAAACACCACTGACAGCAAAGTCAAGAAGTAATGAATTATGTTGCATCACCTGAAGACAGAGGAGAACTGCAGCCTTCCAAGGACAGATGGTCCTTCGCTTCTGAAAAGCATCCCAAGTTTGCTCAGCTACCATCCTTACAGATGCAGCCAATAACCAACCCACACTTACTGAGGACCTACTAGGTGTATGGCTCTGCTCTAGGTGCAGTGGAGAACTCAAACACAAAGAGGCAGTCCCGTCGATTTTTCTATCTGCCCTAATTTTAAAGGTATGTGTGAATCTCTTTTTTAACTCAACATTCTTGCTCACCAGCAGCACTCCATGGTGGAACTGAGCAGCTCCAAGGGCCGGGGGACGAAGGGGCAGCTCCCCCCATCCCCCTGGCTGCCTGTCTCCAGATGCAGATCACACAACAGTTTATAGATTTGAAAATAGAGGCTAGGGTAGAATAAGAATCTAAGGGATTCACCCTGTAGGTAGCAAGCCAGCTCTTGCTGTTCATCTACCCTCACTTAATTATTTTATTTAAAAAAAACATATATAGCACTTAAAATGTGCCAGGTACTGTTTTAAGTGCTTTATAAATATAACTCATTCAATCCTCACAACAATCCTGTAAGACAGATATAATTACCCCAATTTTAAGATGAGGACACAGAGGCACAAAGTGGTTAGCTAACCCACCCAAAGTTATAGCTAATATGTGGTAGAGTCACAGCTGGTCTAACATAGTCTAGCCCTAGTCTACCACCATTAACCACCAAGCAAAGTATTTAACAAACAAGGCTGCGGCATTTATGTGTGTAACATGCCTTCCTGAAGACAGACAAGGTAATTTAACCACGAGCCTCTAGTGTTAAAATTAAAACAACAACAATAGCAGCAACAACAAAAATATATTCAGAATTTATTAAGAATAAGATATACTTTATAGGCTACATACCACGACAGAATTCTAACCTCAAGTTCAAGAGTAATCTTATCTTTCACTACACCAACACCCCTACTGGTCTATATAAATGAAAACTGCTAGAACATTTGCTGAGAGAATCAGCATTTGAATTTTTGCTGTAGTCTTTTCCTAAAATGCGGCCTGGATCTGAAGGGTCAGCTGGGGAGGAATCAGCACACATAACATCTCCTGTCTCTGGGTACATCAGTGTGCCTCAAAAGCTTTCTGCAAGGGACCACCTACCAGATAGCCCAAAACACCTCTCCCAAGGCAGGCGTATCTGTGCTGTACAAGTCGACAGCCACTAGGCACTTGTGGATGTTTAAATTTAAATTAATTAAATAAAATTTAAAATTCAGTTCCTACGTGGCACTTGCCACATAATAAGTGTTCAACAGCCACATGGGGCTAGTGGCTACCACAGTCGACAGCACAGAGACCATTTCCATCATTACAGAAAGTTCTATTGGACAGCATGAGTTAGATCCTGAGTGTGATTTCTTTTTATGCTTGAGTCTGAATATACTTAGTGGTAATAATTTCATCTTTCCCTTCTTATGAATAAACAAAATACAAATTACACTTCATTTCTTCATAAGTTTTCTACTCCCAAATTCAGCTCTCAGGGGGGCAGTGGATTATTTACAAGCAGGTCAAGTAAACTCCTCACCCTCCAGTACCTGGTACCCAGAATGTGTTTCTTCTTCCATAACAATGAATGAAACATAAAACTTAGGTGAGGAAGGGGAATTCATTAAAAAGTGTGGCAGACAAATGTTCTGTTTATAGACTGTGGCTTCATGTGTGATGTTAAGCTCTGAGACACATACTCGACTGGTCACAAGGAAGTCAGACAGGAGAGGGTGGCTACTCCACACAAACTAATACCTCTATCTGAAAAACAACACGAACACATGCACCACTACACACAATGGGTCAGACACTTTTCCTGGCTTTAAAAAAAAGTGCCCACACAAAAACAGGTCAGTTATACAGTCCTGTGTGGGCCAGAGACAGTGGCACCAAATTTTCCACTGGGAGCAAATTTTTCTTTACAACACTTTCTGATTTCTATCATCCTTAACCTGCATTACTAGGATGTCTGATAAATAACACTGCTGTTCCATTTCATGTGTGTTCACATTGTAACGAAGAAGAAAAGCAACAATAAAACATGAGCAACAGCTTAGCAATAAAGCACAAATTCTAGGACACTTCCATAGCTATGGATGCTAAGATCCAAAATTCTCCTAATTCCTCAGACTCAATTCCAGGAAAGCCTGGAAAGACTATGTTTATGACCAGTAGGAACTGCCTTGTTCTAGCATCGATCGTAACATCTAACATCGAGGGTGTTCTAACACCCTATCTACCCCCATTTACTTTTAGTAACACAACTGAATTTTTAATGAAATCCTGTGATATAGAGCTTTCTTTTCAGTTCAGATGAATGGAATGAGCAAGGCTAATAAGAATCATTAATGTCTGGTCATTTTAAGTTATAAAAATACCTTAAGCTCCTCAGAAGATGCAAAATTTTTTAAAAAATGTAATAGTAGTAATAATTAAATTACATACTTGTGACTTCTTGTAAGAAATCCAAACACGGTCGACTACTTCCAGAAATGCTTATTGAAACAGCCAGTGGGGTCTGTCCTTCATAGTTCCTTGTGTTCGTGTCCGCTCCATAATTATATAACATCCGTGCACAAAGCACGTCATCCCTAAGGGCAGACAAATGTAAAGGAGTTTGTCCATCTTCTAAGCGACCCAAGTTTGTGTCTGCTCCTCTCTGAAGGAACATTCGGCAATAAGAGTGATTGCTTTTGATCACAGCGTATCGCAACAGGAAACCGTTCTGAATGTCGATGTTGGCATTGTGGTCCAGGAGGATTTTCACACAGCTTGACCTCTCTCGGATAATGGCGAGCTGAAGCGGCGTTGTACCTTTATCACTGAGCGGGTCGACCTCAGCCTTGAACTCCAGTAGGAGTCGGACAAATGAGTCCCTACCATAGTGAGCAGCCACATGAAGGGGAGTCCAGCCATCGTTGCTTTTTGCATTAATAATGTCGCTCCTGTATTCAGATTCTAACATCAGGCGTGCAATCCGAGCCCGGCCATGCATGGCTGCGTAATGAAGTGCAGTGAAGCCTCCGATTAAGTCCTTAACTGTGGGATCAGCTAGAGTTAAAACCAAAATGAAAACATTAGCAGACTCTGAGACAAAGCAACGAACTCTGCCATGGCACAGCACATCTTAGCCAATTCTCATATGAAATGTGAAATGATTAAACACTATAATGAATATTAAGTCCTTCTTGCCTCAGCTTAATTGAAATACCGTTTTAATGGAAAAAAAATTTTAGTAGAAAGTTATGAAACCTCGATTAATAGGATGAGTATATGACTTACAAAGCATTTAAAAGCTATATACAAAAAACACAGAGTCCAGATCACCACATCCCCTCTCTTTGCTAATTTCACCAATTGCCCTTGGCTTCCCAACTCCCTCATCTCTGTACTGTTTCATGTTGCTCTTCTGTTTTGAACTTTTTGTTTTATTTTCTCTTCTGCTGCTTCTTGGTCTTAAAAAGAAGCATGTGTAGCAACATCTGCTGCTCTAAATTACGGATGTACTGTGGTCTGGCAGACTGTGTTGTTTTAGGGTGTATTAGGTAAAAATTAAAAAAAAAAAAGGTTTTCTGTGATCTGTAAGAATTCCAAAACATGTAAGATATATGTTAAGTGATCTTGATAAATCATGTTTTTATAAGATAAAACTCTATTCTGAATTCTTCGTTTTACAAGAACTTTGGAGTTTTTAAGAATTAAGCAGCACACATTGTGTGAAAAATTGGGAGAAACCTCAGCACTGAATAAATATTATTTTCTAAAACAGTTCCAAACCTCTCTCCTAAATCGACAGATTTCTGGAAGAAAAAAAAGAAATAAAAGAGAAGAAAAGAAACTAAAATGATTTATCTGCTGTGTGACTCCTCAAGTCACAGGCTTTTGTCACCTGCCCCCAGTCTTTCCTAAAGCTGAGGGTCGGTTCTACACAGCTCTCATCCCACTAGCCTTCCTGGACAAGGGCAGGAAAGGGGCAAGAACCCTCATATGCTATAGGTAGGTCACTTCCTGGAGGCCAGCAATTCTGTGTGAAGATAACAGGTTGGACCTAACTACCAAGGATTAAAATACTTTCTTCTTATAAAAGTCACCATTAATTTTTAGCTTGTTCATGAAAGAGAAAAATTCATAAGTGTTCTTCAAACAAACAAACAAAAAGCCTCCACAGTCATGTGATTAAACACTTGCGTTTTGTTTAGTAAAATGTTGCTTAGTTCTAAAACATTTTATGACAGCTTGGTCTCTTAGAAAAACCTGAGGCAGAAAACTGTATCTAAAATAGTAATAATACTGTGGAGAATACAAATTTCAATTAAGAAATAGTTACAACAAAAGCTATAAAAAGTTAACACTTTTTAGGTAAGCTGTATCAGTTGAATTTCTAAGATTATTTCATATAAACTGATATTACACAACACTAATATGACTTTTATGTGTTTAAAGAAAATGATGGTATCATATCTGCCTTGGTCTTCACTAAAAGAAAAATATACAGTACCTATTCACTACTTAATTTAAAAAAAAAGAGCAAGAATATTTAAACAATGCACATTGCTGCCATCTACTGGTAAGGCATGAACATGAGCTACTGTTGCCATTTTGACAGATGATGCTGAGCCCTCAAATCTGTTTTCAGATACCTCACTTACCTAAAGTAGACTAAGACAGGCATGAAATATAAAAGAACCCCTTCTATTCAAATAAAACCGTAAATCTTGCCAAGATGGCCATTCCTAATCTATACCTGACCAATCAACTGCTTCCAGACATTCTCTTTTAATCTGTTAGTGAAATTCAAGAATACTTTTCACTTCTCCCACCTTTCATCCACCATGGGTGCCTTTAAAGTTGCCAGCAAACAGTCTCATGTGCATCCTATGCTCGCTTTGACAGTAAAATTAAAATTATGTTATATAAAATTGCACTGGCATCTTTAGTTTTCCACCTCAGGTCTTTTTTAGATTCTACTTACAACTTGGTGCTATACTGAGCTAGGAAAAACAAAGATTAACAAATACAGCAATGATCTGCTTAGTCTAAGTAAAAACCACTAAAATCCATTAATTGAGCACACACTGGAAACACAGCACAGAAAGAAGACTGTAGGTTAACAACGTATAAAATCTGTATAGTTACTTTCGTCAAGAAATTAACAAATAGGAAATATAAGACAAAGATGAAAACAAAAATTAATTTAAGGATTATTAGCCAATGCAATAAGATAAGAAAAAGATCTTATTTGTAATAGTAGCAGAAACTACAAAAACATTTCTGTAAGAAATGTGCAGGGCACATGTGAAGAGACCTTTTTTGACTTAACTGAATTCACTTCCTCTGTGTCTGTTCAAATGTTCCTTCAACAGAAAATCCTTCGCTGAACACTAACATGGTAGCCCCATCACCTCATAACTTTGTCCACTTTAGCAAGCTTTCTCCCCCCAGGTGCAACCTATTTAATACAAATTGTATCAGTCTCAAGAAACCCATTTGAAAAGTTTGAAAGCATATATAAATAAAAGCAGACAAACATTCCCTACCAATATGGTTCTTTCTTTCCAACAGCTTTACTGAGGTGCAATAAAACTGAACCATTTTAAGTATACAGGTTGATGAACTCTGACGAATTGTATACAGTCATGTGACTACCACTACAATCAAAATATTCCCATCATCTCAAAAAGTTCCTTCCTGCCTCTTTACAGACAATTTCCTGCCCAGACTCTAGACCTCAGGCAACCACTAATGTTTTGCCTTTCTATAATTTGATATAAGTGGAATCATAGAGTATTAGGCTTTTGTATTTGACTTATTTCACTTATTATAATGTTTTTGAAATTCATACATGTTGTGGTTCATCAAAAGTTCATCCCTTTGCAGCTCGGTGCTTTGTGACTGCCTGGAGGGGTCGGATAGGGAGGGTGGGAGGGAGGGAGACGCAAGAGGTAAGAGATATGGGAACATATGTATATATATAACTGATTCACTTTGTTATAAAGCAGAAACTAACACACCATTGTAAAGCAATTATACTCCAATAAAGGTGTAAAAAAAAAAATTTCATCCCTTTGTATTGCTGAACAGTATTCCATAATATGGATATATAGTTATTTATTTATATAGTCAGTAGCAAATGGATAAATGGGTTATTCCTAGGCTATAATGAATAAGGCTACTGTGAACATTCATATACAAGTCTGTTTGTGGATATATGTTTTCAGTTCACTTGGGTAAATACCTAGGAGAGAATTGCTGGGTCATATGTTAAATGTACATTTAACCTCCTAAAAAAGGGCCAAAATGTTTTTCTAAGTGACTATACAATATTACACTCCCACGAGCAATGTATGAGAGTTCCTAATGTTCTACATGTTCACTAATACTTGGCATTATTAGTAATTTTAATTTTATCAATTCTATTGAGTATAAAGTGGTAACTTATTGGGATTTTAATATACATTACCCTGATGACTACTGATACTGGGCTTATTCTGATACTGGGCTTATTCATATACTTTCTTTTGTGAAGTGTCTGTTGAAATCATTTACCCATTTTTATTGTGTAGTTGTTCTCATTATTAGTTTAAAACTCAATTGTGTATATATTCTGGATACAAGCCCTTTTGTCAGATATGTTTTGTATTTTCTCCTAGTCTACGGCTTGCCTTTTCATTTCCTATACTGTGTCTTTTGAAGAGCAAAAGTTTTGAATTTTGATGAAATCTACTGTCATTTGTTTTCTTCTATGGTTTGTGCTTTTTGTGTCCTGTTTAAGAAATCTTTGCCCAACACAATGTCACATAGGTTTTCTTTTCTTCTAGAAGTTTTATACTTTTAACTCTTATATTTAGGGCAATGGTCCATTCCTAGCTGATTTCTGTGTACAGCATAAGAGCAGATCAACGTTCATTATTCTCCATATAAATATCTATTTAATCCAGCACAATTTGTTTAAAAAACTACCTTTTCCTCGATGATTTATCCTGGTGCCTTTGCCACAAAACAATTTACCATACAAGTGTGGATCTATTTCTGAACTCTATTCTGTTCCACTGATCTAAAAGTGTATCCATATACCAGTACCAGATTGTCTTAATTACTGCAGCTTTATAGTAAGTTTTGATAGCAGGTAACATTCTCAAACCTTCTTTAAACTGTTTTGGGCAATAAATTTTAGAATCAACCTACCAATTTCTTCAAACAAGCCTGTTACAATGTTGATTGGAACTCTACCAACTCTAAAAATGTAAATCTGCCACAAATTATCTAAATAATATTTATTCTTCCAAACCATGAGCACAGAATACCTCTATATTTATTTAGGTCTTCTTTAATTTCCCTCAGCAATGTTTTGTACTTTTCAGCATACAAGTACTGCACATCTTTCATTACATTTATTACTAAACTTTGTTGCTATCATAATGAATTGTTTTTACATTTCATTTTCTAAATGTTAATTACTGGTATAGAGAAATAAAATTGATTTTTGTATACCAACTTGTGTATTCTGTAATCTAGCTAAATTCACTTTTTAGTTCTAGAATGTTTTTGAGATTTCTTACGATTTTCTAAACATACAATTATGTTCTCTGCAAATAAAGACAGCTTTACTTCTTCCTTTCCAATCCCAGGACCCTTATTTGAACAATAAAATGTTGACAAAATGTAGTAAAAGCATATACCCTTGCCGTGTTCCTAATCTCAGAGGGAAAGAATTCAGCAGTTCACCATTTACTATGATGTAAATTGTAGTTTTTCACAGATGTCTTTCCTTAGGGTTTGGAAGTTGTCTTCTGCTTTTGGCTTGCTGAGAGTCTTTATGATGAATGGGTATACTATACTGTCACATGCATTTTCTGCATCTATTGAAAGGATCATTTGGTATTTACTTTTATTCTATTAAGAGGGTAAATTACTCATCATATTTTCAGATGTTAAACAAAGCTTGCATTCCTGGGATAAACACTACTTGGTCGTGATGTAATATTCTTTTTTATACAATGATGGATGAGATTTGATAGTATTTTGTTAAGGTTATTTCTAACTTTTGTCAT